GCTTGTTGCAAGAGAAAGTGCTGCTGACATTAGTAGCACAACATATGAAAATACTACTACTGAGCCTATTGTTACAGGTATTACATTAATTCAATCTGTTTGTTGTTACCTATCAATCATACTTTATTCTGTTGGTTAGAGTCTGCTAGTCTTCATGAAAAAGAGAATGATGAAAATGTATATGAGCTGACTGATACTACTTCACTGTAATACTTCTTCTAGTTTGGTGTGTATAGCTACTAAGCAGTTTTATAAACATAGCTACATCATAACAAACAGACTGCATGATGCCACGACTGAATGCATAATAGTTTAATTTAGATAGTTATAAATAATTTCTTTTGAATAAAATCTCCTGTATCTGCACACTCATAAAAATTTTGTGGCCAAGACAGTTGTAGATGGGATCATATTCTCAGGAGAGGTGCTGTTATGGGTACAATATGGAGCTAATAATCACACAATGCATTATTGTTGCTATTATTATTACGTGCTAATTAACAAAATAGCAGATAGCCAAACTTTTAGTATACTCATTTTAGAGGGATAGCCAGATATCTGAGATATGTAGTATCATGAGCTATGGTTTTATATACTTGAATTTGCATGTATTGGTACCAACACTGAGTCTCCAGATCAAGGCACAAAATGTGGCGCCATAATGACCGGGCGCTACCATAGTATCTATGGCGCTACTTAGTAACGCTACGCGTTACTATAACATTAACAGGTACTTTTGACTGTCTAACTACTGTTGCTTTTATTATACAGATTCCTTTCTTTTACACAGACATTTTCAACAAGCAGATCATTAAATCTGCTTGAAATTGAAGTGTACAAGCCTAAGATTAAGACTATGGTGTCCTGGTTATTTCTCTTATCAGTACTTGCAGTCACTTTTCTTCTTCCATATCCAACAACAGGCCAAGGTCAGTCTTAACATAAACCTACTAGTGACTGATTTAACTGTTCAAAATTGGCATCACTTATTTCACCTACACATTATTCCATTTTAGTACCTCCTCCCAGTGTATCAATAGTTGCTGATCCTCCAACTGGTCCAATATATGAGAGTACAAGTTACTTACTAACCTGTACAGCTACAGTAAACACTACAATAGTGATACACCAGTAACTGCTAGTGTAGTATGGACTGATCCTAGTGGTAATGTAATACAAACTAATGAAGCAAGACGTCGAGTGATACCTCCAACTGGTAACAGTCTTGTAAGCATGCTATTGTTTCAACCTATTGATACTGGTCTTAATAATGATGGAGGAACATATACCTGTCAAATGATCATCAATTCTGGTAACTCATTAATAGCACCAAGTGGAACTACTAATACTACTCTTGTTGTTACTGTTGAAAGTAATTAAATGCAATTATCTTACTTTCTTTTATCTTTCTTCTCTTACTTTTATTATTTTTCAGGTCTTCCTTCAATGATGGTAGATTTCTCATCAGTTGGTTCAGTTGAAGTTGGTCAGAGTCTAACTATAACATGTACCATAACAACAGTTGAGAGATTAGTAGTAATACCAATGATTACTTTCTTTAAAATGAATGATACAGATATGGAAATGCTCTCTAACTTAAATAGACCATACACTATCACAACAGATGATACTGGTTCAGTTACTAACTATACTCTAATACTGGATCCAGTGAGGTTTGAAGATGCTGGAATGTATACATGTATGGCTGAGTTTAATGTAACTGGTTTTAATAATACCAATGATCCTAGCACTGCTACTTATGATTCTCAAGAGGCTAGTGATGTTTTCACCTTGATTGTTGACTGTAAGTTATAAATATCCTGTACAAATTTAATTAGTTAATTTTAAACGTTTAGTATACTAAATTTAAATATAACTTACACATAACTATGTATTTTTTATTTTAAATATAGCTCTAATCTATTTATTATATTC